AAGGTACCTGTGCCTACTCATCCATTAGTCTTACTAAAATTTTTCAACAGTCTCTTCACGAAGGTGTATTACCAATCGAATGGAAGATTGGCAAAATTGTGCCATTTCACAAGTCCGGTGACAAGCATTCCCCATTAAACTATAGACCCATCTCACTTACTAGCATTCCATGCAAAATACTGGAGCACATTTTGTACTATAACCTTGCAACCTTCCTTGAGTCTAACTCGTTTTTTTACGCGTCACCAACATGGCTTTAGGAAAACATTCTCGTGCGAAACCCAGCTTGTAGCCTTTACACACAAATTAAACGTTATTCTTGACCAAACTAGCTCTGCCGACTGCATATTCATAGATTTCTCCAAAGCTTTTGATAAAGTCTGTCACAACTTGCTGTTGCACAAATAAATGAACTTAATATTGATCCCAGGCTTCTAACATGGCTCGAATGTTTTCTAAAAAATCGTTCTCAATTTGTTTCAGTTAATAATGTAAGCTCTGAACCAAGTGCTGTTCATTCCGGCGTACCACAAGGCTCCGTACTAGGCCAACTGCTCTTCCTTATATACATTAATGATTTACCGGCCTGTATTACCTCCAATATTCAATTATTTGCGGATGACTGCGTAATCTTCCGAGAGATAACTCATGATGGCGATATTACCTCTCTTCAACATGATCTTAACTCCATTTCTCTTTGGTGTAAAACATGGCTCATGGAATAAAACAATAAGAAATGCCAATTTTTACGTGTTTTGAGAGCGAACCATCAACTTCCAAACTATTACCTTGATAACACCCCTCTTCTATCCGTGACAAACTATAAATACCTTGGGGTGCATATAACAACTGATCTGACCTGGACTGTTCACTGTAATTACGTCATTAAAAATGCTAACCGAATGTTAGGTTACCTCCGCCGCAACTTTTCAACGGCCCCTTCTTTCTTGAAACTTCTTCTTTACACTACACTAATACGACCTAAACTCGAATATTCCGCTGCAGTATGGGATCCTAGTCATGCCAACCTAATACACTCTCTTGAAATGGTACAGAATAACTCAATTCGTTTTATACTTTCTAATTACAACAGCACAGCTAGCATAACAGCCATGAAATCTAGCCTCAACTTACCTTCACTTTCATCCCGTCGTAAAATGTTTCGTCTCCACTTGTTTCACAAGCTGTTTCATCACACATCGCTGCGGGACGGTCTTATCTTGCCTCCTAGTTATTTCTCATCCCGGCTGGATCATTCCCATAAGGTCGGGTTGCCTTCTTGCAGGACTCGCGCCTTTTCTGAGTCTTTCATACCTCGCACCTCTGAGAACTGGAACCGGCTTCCCGCATCAGCGGCAACCATTGTACATCACCTTCATTTCGAAAGTGTCTTAGCTAGTTATGTGTAATTACAGCCAACAAAGTATTGTATTACGCGATGCTGTGTTGTTCCTGTACAGTACTTATTTTCTTGTCGTTTTTCCTGTCTTGATGTAATTCTCATCATTCCCGCGTTTTTGTTTGCCATAAAGCCTGTTAGCTAACCTGTATAATTAAGATCTTCTGCTCGATGTAAGATTCGCCGCTGCATTTTGTAAAATTTTTTTTCTTTCTTTTCTTTCTCAACCACTCCCCTCTGTAATGCCGTTTGGCCCAGAGGGTATTGCAAATAAATAAATAAATAAATAATAAATAAATAAATAAATAAATAAATAAATAAATAAATAAATAAAAGCAAGCTGTAATCTTTCTTTGTGACAAGGACAAGTGAAGCGCAAGGGCTTGAAGGAGGCTCCATGATGTTCCGAGCAAGCATCTTGTCGACTTCTTTTTGGATCACGTGGCGTTTAGGGGAGGATATTGCATAGGGCCACCGATGTACCGGTTTTGCATCACCGGTGTTAATCCGATTTATGACGGTTGTTCAGCCTAGTGGTTGGTCGTGGAGATCAAAGATGTCTTGATACGAAGCAAAATCAGAGGCGATAATTTTTGTTGTGACATCTCATGGAGTTCTCCACTCAAGACTGGCAGGTGACGGTTTATACTCTGTTAAGGCGGAAATGTGGTAGTTGCCGGCTGGGGCAGTGGTTGCAAGGCATATTCCTCGGCGCAGTACTTGTGAGCAAAGTCGTAAGTTAACAATAGGGAGACATGCAACGTTGTCCTTCAAAGTGATAATCGTGTGCGGAAACGTTTCATTGAGTGAACAGAGGACGGTAATGTTAGGTGACATAACATATTCTCCGTCAGCCACCGGTGGATCGGAATAGACGTCAACATATGTCACAACTCGACAGAAAAGGCGAATGTATTCATTGTAGCATTGCCTTGGCGTCGCAGGTGTAGAAGGGTCAACCGCATATGGTAGAACGAGCTGAAAAACACCAGCAGAACAGTCAATTAGGGCGGAATGTTCCGACAGAAAATCTTCTGTTCTGTTTTGCTGTGAAGAGGTTGAGGTTCATATTGCCTCGGCTACTCCATACCAGTAATTTCTGCAGCGAAAAAATATTAAACAGTACTCAATAATGAACAAACAAAATGTAATGCCAGAATGACTTATTGTTGGCAGTAGTCCAGGACGTACTTAGAACAGAAGTAGGACATTCAGCCAGCGTGATGTGGGCAGCACACATCCCAGTGGCAGCTGATCCATCGGCTACTCGGTATACAGGGATAGGAGCATGAGTGAGCACTTTCTTTGGCCGAGCACGAAGGCTGCAGTTCATTGCTGATAGGTGAGCGCCGATGTCAATGAGTGCTATTGCAGGTGTGCCATCTACATTTGTGTTTATCAAGTTCTTGCGTCCGGGTAGCGTGTGCAGAGAAATTTCGGGTCGGGTCGTCAAGGCAAGCTTACCTCTGGAGCTGCACTCGTTAGCTTTCCGTGAACTGGCGGTGGTAGGAGGATTAGGGAGAGTGGAGACGGATAGGTGAGTGAGACAGCCGTCCGGATGACAGCGGCGAGCGGTTTAGTACAGCGTGCATGGGTAGTGTAGAATTGTCGTAGTCAACATGTATTGGCATACGGGAACCCAAAGGTGGGCACCGGGTGTAGGCGTAGTGCAGCCAAGGCAGCCAATTCCAGGAATTACGGCTATGACGGGAAACGTGGCTGGCTCGTCCACAGCAAAAGCAGATCAGTCTTTCATCGAAGGTTCGTCATTCAGCCGAGTTCCTGTTACGTGGACGGTTGTACGAGCTTAGGAACATATCATGTACACTGGCTAGTCGGACGCTTCTGTTAACTGGGCAGAGCGTCTGTAGTCCGGAGTTGGCCAGTTCTTAGCACACAATGGTGTGAATTAAAGAAATAGTGCACGAGAATTGTCAGTGGCAGAGGCATAATCAGCAATAAGAAATGCGGCCTCGATTTCACGGAGAACGATGCGGATAATAATTTCGAAAGCAGCAGTGGCTGGTGGGAGATAGGCTTCTACGCACGTAGATGTGGCAGCCGTGTTCGAAAGACGCAAAAATTGGGGAGTAATGCGATCACCTTTCGCTTCCTCAAAGCGTCGGAAATCATTAATGACGTCGTCTACTGTCGAAGAGTTGTGGAACACGAGGAGAGTGACGGCATCATCCGCGATTGCTTTGAGGATGTGCGCCACTTTTTCGGATTCCGACATCTTCTCGTCAACCGTGCGGCAGTGGGCAAGCACATCTTGGAGGTATGTCACGTATGACGCAGTGCAGGACTGCAGTCGGCACGCGAGTTTTTTCTGCACAGAACGAAGAAGAGGTCGATGAGTTTGCGTTTGCAAATGTCTCAACTAGTGATCTCTTCTTCATGGTGGGAAAACCAAACTTTGGCCGTTCCCTGAGGTAAAATAGAACAAAGGCCAACATGAGCGTCGCGTCTACTTGGATAGTGCGCTCACCCGTTCGTATAGCTGAAGCCACTTTTTAATATCTCTGTTGTTGTAATTGCCGCAAAAAGTGCCTGGGTCATGTGGTTGGGTCAAAACGACGGTGCGGTTCGTGATGGCTGAATGCGACACTGTCGGACGCTGCGTGGTTGAACGAGGCACGCTTGGTGAAGTTTCTGACGAATCCTTGTTCTCGTTGTTATCAGCCATCGCGAGCAGAGGCAGGTAACGAACGTCCGCTGCCTAGAATCATTGTTGATGTTAATTCTGGGAGGACCCGCACTCTGTGTGAAAGCGGTGACTAGAATCCTGCGCTTACAAGTGTTTCAAGGAAGCCGAAGCGAAGTGATAGTTCTCGCAACATAGCGGATGTACTCTTGAGCATTTATTCCTCGCTAAAAAAACTAGATAAAAATAGTGAAACTCCGTCAGCAAAATAACAAGTAACTACGCAATGATGTACGGGCCACATACTTACTGGAAAGGCAACACTGCGGCGGTACTGGTCCAAACACTTGACACTTTGACGTTTCCTCGTAACCAAACATAATGTGCAATGCTCACAAATTTAAACGGGAAAGTTTAGGGCTAAGCAACGCAGATGTTTTTATTCCTGCCGTCATCAGTTCGGGTGATCTTGGCGTACTTTTGACTCGATAAGACGCAAGATTATTATACCACACTCGTCGCGACATGATAAGGTTATCTCGAGCATATGTGTATACCGGTCGTCATACTTAAAAAAAATTGGTGTCTTGTCGACATCGGTAAATACTCTACATACAAATAAAATAAAACTGAATAATTTCAAACGTCGGGAAATACCAGCTTCTTGACAGGTTCGCATCCTATGTGAAGCCGAACCATCCTAACAGCGGAGCTGTGTAAGCTTCTCGCCCGCAGAAACTCGAAAAGTGTATATATGTGCCACTGAAAACGAATACGTGGCGAAGAACTAATAGCGTCATTAATATTTCTGTTGTTATTATTATCGTTGTTGTTGCTGTTGTTGTTGTTTATTTTTACATGACCTTAGCTTAGATTTTGCTGTCGTAGTTGCATGTTTTTTTTTCTTCGTGTTACGCAATAACCCCTTCTCGATGCACTTTTTTCGTTTCGTTTCAGGAAAAAGTGGAGTATATATTTCTAGTGATATTTACAGCCGAATGCTTTATGAAAATTATTGCCTACGGCTTCCTGTTACACCCAGGTGCTTACTTACGCAACTCTTGGAATTTTCTAGATTTCATAATTGTAGTTATAGGGTAAGTATGAATCCTTCTTCCTATTCTCATCCCATTCTCTCTTGCGCGTGTGTGTGCGTTAAACCCATCACTCTAAACTTGTTCAACATAATTTGTAGTCACGTAAAGTAAATTTATACAAACGCAATAAACTAAAAGTTTTCTGAGATCCTAATTTGTAGAGTTATGATTTCATCAGTACCATGCCATTTTGACTGCTGGCATATAAAAAATTCTCTAATGTATCAAAGGTGTTCTCGTCGTGTGGGACTTCAACTTTCTGAATACTAAAGCAGATGTCGGAGATATAAGACACGTATCACAGTATCAAGTCGCTACTCGCGGAACCAGTTGAACTTAAAGGCCACATGTCCGATCACATATTCGATGGAGGCGAAAACGCTCAAGTCTAGTGTACGTAGATGCGATTGCATGTTCAAGAACCTCAGGTGGGCGAAATTTGCGAAGCCCCCCAATGCGGCGTGTCTTATGGTCTTATCGTGGTTTTGAACCTAAACAATTATTATGATCAGATGACTGCAGATTGAGGCAAGTAATACAAAATTCATAGTCTAGATCGAACATAATTTTACTGAAATGTTGCGCTCCTTAGACAAATGGTATAGACGCTCGACGTAAGGTACCTAATATATAGGATTAGCATGATTCGTCTAACGTTGTTTCTAGCATGCTTTCGAGGCTCCCTAGAGAGTATTGTAGCCGAAATAGGCGCATTCGAGCTGTATGGTGCCGGTAGTGCAGAACCATGTTGAAGCCTCTGGTACAAGTGATTCTACAGTGCCACTAGGAAGTTACACGGCTAGTAGAGGAAGGGTTGCGGCATTAGTATCTCGAGACATGCCTCGTATATAATGTGGGCAGTTTAACTCTGCTCAAAAACGTAAACATTATTGCTTGAAACAATGCTGCGCTCAAAATCAGTTGTGTATTTAGATCACACCATTCTTGATAACTACTCGTTTCTAACGCGACAACGGTTGTAACGCTATCGTGACTTGCGTGCAGGAAGAAAAAAATATTATTCGAGTATAACGCGACTTAAGGAACAAAAACTGTGTTAAATCACATCATGAGACTTTGAATGTCATCGAGTATCATTGAATTCAATTTTTTTCGGTCATTTTTTTTCAGCACCAAAAGGGAAGAAAAAACTGTACTTATTTCTCCTTTCAGGCACTTTTTTACTTGTTTTAGCGAGGCACGTCCTCGAAATGCCGGTCATGTTCTGCATTTTGTTTGTGGCGCATATAAGCCTGATTATTTTTTTAACGTGTAAAGACAGAAACTTGCCGTAAAAGTGCATTGTCTAATGCCTGTTCTGCATGGTTTCCAGTCACTGCTAGCGTCAACATGCGAGAATCCTTGAGTGCATCTATACTTTCATTGAAATCCTTCTTTATTAGTTTGAGCAGACGGACACCAACAGATTATAATTTCTCAGCCGATTGCTACATTTACAGAAAGTGAAACACAAGAGAAATGAACTTCTTTGAAATGTCTAAGTATGCTTTCGCATGGCGTCTGTGTTCACGAGGCAGCGATATACGCAGTCCTGCCCATGTCTTCCTTGTTCATCGCATGGCGCTTCACCAACAAGCGCAGTTGATTGCGCTTGCCTGCCGCAGTACTGCTACGTGACTTTGGCAGTGCTAATGTTCTCTCTCTCTCTCTCTCTCTCTCTACTTTCAGTCTTATCAGTACAGCCTTATCGGCATTTATGAGAGAAGGTTTTGACGTGAAAGCGTTGCGTGCATTCCGAGTTTTGAGGCCACTGCGGCTTGTTTCTGGAGTGCCAAGTGAGTATCCTGTTGAAGGGACTGAACCGAACGGGAAATATTGAGCGCTTTTTGATTACCAACAGTAAGGTGGGAGCAAGAACTCGAGGTTAGGTGTAACATGAAGTTGCCATGACCTTTAAATGGCTATGAGTAATATTGTCAGCAAACATCTCGTATGAAGTCGAGGTTTCGGCAGAAACTTGTCCGGTTAAGAAATGACATGATTAAACTAAAACAGAGACACCACTAACAAAAATGAATACAAAAAAAGACGTTTCAGCTCGCAATGGTGAATTGTAAACAAGGCTCTTGTCAGGGAAGCTGAAACGTTTTTTTTTGTAGTCCTTCTTATAAAGGTTGTCATTCTTTTTAATAGCACAATGGAAATTCGCTAGTTGTGCTCGCCGATGCACCAACGCATGTGCAGATACGTGCACAAAGGAATTACCACACGGAAAATAAATTGCATTGTACCTTCCTTTCTTAAATAAGCGTGTGGGCATTTATTTTTACTCGGATCAAGCAATTGCATCGGTAAATGACACCGCAACGTTACTTGTGTCTGTTCATATTGTTCTAATCTGAAAGACGAGCGAAGGGGGCAGCCACGCCTTCTTACAAAGCTCGGCCAGATGTGCGGCTTGGCAGTCTTTCTTCGCATAGACGGCTGCCCACGAGTACCTCAGATTTTCGAAATTTCAATTTAAGACTATTGGCAACCTCGGTCAATTACCCGGGAACGTCAGCTAAAGACACTGGAAGACCCATGCGCCCGACGAAACCATCCTTACACCTAGAACTGAAGAAAAATTGTGACTCCGTATAGGATAAATTAACGAATGTTTCATGAGTGACCTCTGCAAAGCAGTGGCACCGCCAAAGTCATAACTATGTCGTTTAAGAGCCTGTTTATGGTTACGAGGCCGGTGGTTTGTGCTTCCAAGACATTATTCAAAACAAAGAAAGCAAGTGGATTGAAACCTATGTATTTGATGCACTGATCTTGTCAAGCTGATAAACCAATCTTACTTTTTTATTCTTCGTGGCATATTCATTGCTCTTTGCTGATGCGAGAGCGTTAAATAACTTGTTTCGCAGAAATTTGTGCGTCATTGGTTCTGAGTGGAAAATCACCGGAAAATCGAGAAACATGCAAATAAAATAAACTTAAAAATTCAGTTTCAGTAAGGATCGAACCCAGGTCGTTTGCTTGGTTAGCGGGTGTTCTAAAACACATCTACGCGTCTGCTTGTGAATACAGTGAAAATAACTTCCTCTGCTTGAAATTGGAGTGAAATTAACTTTCATAATTTACAAAATACTTCAAAATACAACCTGTATATTTCAGAAACGATGCATGTTACAAGCCAATGTTGTCATCGCTTGTACCATCGCTGGTCAGAACATGTGGGTATAATAATGACTACATGGTTTGAAGATGGTCAAGCACTACCGATGATACACATGTTACTATGCCTATTCCCTTAAAGCCTCGTAGTGTGTGCATCGCATGTTCGAAAAGATTTTATTCACTAAATGTGTGATGTACGCACTTTGGAACAGCATATCGCTATCGCGTTCAATTCTCAAAGGCCAAGCTTTAGATTCACACAGTAAGTTCACCTTCTTCGATTCACGTTGCTTAAAAAGGCAATATTGCAGTGTACTGCTGCAAATCGTCAAAAATATGTATTTCCTATTGGCTTTGTGCTTACTCTGCGACAATTAGATTCTACACGTATATTCTGACAAAAAATAGCAAGATGAGTGACTTCGTGCAGTGAAAGACCACATATTCGAAATTGAAGGGGGCTGTAAAATTGTTCTAATGAAGCGGTGCTCGAATTAGCGGGCAGGTGCCATACACTTTGTGCACAGCGACTGGCGCACCACTACGTGGCCGCCAGAGCAGACAGTCGTTGAGAGACCGAGCAGAACCAAACGCTCCCCCAGCGACCGCTAGCACGTAGTTTATGGTGAGCTATTCTCGCGGTGTCAAATTCGGCTTCCGCTGCTTGGCTGGAGCTGGCGAGCAGCACGCCGCCTGTTACTGGTCCTCCTTCCGAAACGTCATTTTGATGCCACAGAGCTTTGCCCCGCCGCGGTGGTCTAGTGGTTAAGGTATTCGGCTGCTGTCCCGCGCGTCACGGGATCGAATCTCGGCTGCGGCGGCTGCATTTCCGATGGAGACGGAAATGTTGTAGGCCCGTGTGCTCAGATTTGGGTGCACGTTAAAGAACCCCAGGTGGTCGAAATTTACGGAGCCCTCCACTACGGTGTCTCTAATAATCATATGGTGGTTTGGGGACGTTAAACCCCACAAATCAATCAATCATCAATGCCACAGAGCTTTCACAAAGCAAGATGAAGCGCTCGAGGGAGGTCATGATATCGTATTCCAAAGGTTACCAAGTCATTGCGTAATAGTCGGCAATGACCACGCGGATGAAGCTGCTCGATCGGCTCATGACCAAGACCTGCATACGCCCATACTACTCTTGAGAACGGACGCTGCAAGGTGACTACAACCACTTTCTTGCCGTATCTCCTAAAATCTTGCCGTTTCTCCTAAAATAGAATACACTAGGTTTCTCCAATGCACGCATGTATTCGATCGACCCAAACTTGCAACTTCGTTTGCCATCTGGGCTCCCTTCACGCGATGAAACTTTGCTGTGTCGCGTGCGGTTGGGCGTGGTATTTAAGAATGCGTATTCTTGTCTCCTTGGAATGGCGAGCAGTCTGGCAGGCAACATTCGCGCCTACGACGAGACGCTTGAGCACATTCTGTGCCACTGCAGCCCAGCATACCTGTCTAAATGACGTATTATGGAAACAAAGCTCCTTCAGCTTACATAAAAGAAGATCCTGGGACCTTAGCCGACTGTTTCGCATACGCGCAAAGCCACGAAAGCCCTATTGTGCTTTTTAAGGACCACTGGACTTCACGAGCGCTTGTGAAAGAACAGCGTGAGAACGTGCTGTGTACTCTAGAGCTGACTATTCATTCATCTTTTTCTTACTCGCCTTCTTTCTATATATTTCCTTTCTATTATTCCCCCTTTACCCCACCCCAAGTGTAGGGTAGCCAACCGAGCTTAGCTTTGTTAACCTCCCTGCCTTCCTTCTCTATTTCTCCATCTCTCTCTCTCTCGACACGAATGAAAAAGACCGAATGCGTTTTGCCGCAACAAATTGTTAGCCCTTGAATTAGGTTCAACGCGGTCGTCCGCCTGATGCCCCTGAAAGGTCTGTACGCATTTCCTTCATCGCTCTTCAAACTATTCACAACGCTTTCACTGTATCTACAACGGGTGATCATAAGCTGATCTTAATACAGATGCATAAGCATGTGTTCAGCCTCACTTAAGGACAGGGATTCAGTTTTCCTACACAGCCATGTTTAATGTTGTGGGAAGGTCAGCGAACTCACTCACTCGTACTCACTCCGACTCAGGTCCAGCCGTGAGCCCGAGTGTAGGGTAGTCTGAGTGAGTCCGGCTGAAGAAACTTTTCGTGAGTGTGAGTCCGAGTGAGATTGGGTCCGGACAATTTTGGAGTTTTGGTGAGTGCGAGTAAGTCAAAAGCACAAAATATTTCTTGAGTGAGTCAGAGCGAGTCACAACTATCTAGTCATCTCCAGCATTACAGTCAGCCTTACCTCAATTCATATTCATACTCACGTCTAGTTACAGGTATTCCAAACCAGTGTCGTTCATACACCGTTTCAATATTCATTATTAGAGGCGTTAATTACGTAGGGGTTGCTTTGACCTCCCCCCCACACATCCTTTCACACAATTTTATGATTTTTATATCTTGCGCTGTCACCTCTTCAACGAATTCTACTATTTCGGAATTTCTCAGAACTTGTTTTCGAAGTTACTTTGTCAAAGGGTAACAAGAAGGGCACCGATTACGTGAGATATCGCTGTTAAACAGCATTGAAACCACGACCGAAGAAGCTAATTCTGGACTTAGGAGTCTACTCACTCAGACTCGTATTGCGCAGTGAGTGTGAGTCTGAGTGAGTCCGGGTGAGCAATGTTTTGGTTAGCGTGAGTCCGGCTCGGGAAAACTTTCGTGAATTTGAGCCCGAGTCACTCTAAAGCTCAAAATGTATTTAAAGAGGGAGTGCATTCCAGAAGTTTTTCCGACATGTGGTTGTGGGTAACCACTCGCAAGGCTTTGTTTTCATTCTTTTTTCGCCTTTTGATGAGAGTGCACTCGTTTCGCCAGTTTTATTTACTATGCGATGCTTAGAAATTGTTTTCAAGGTTTTACATCATTGGCTCTCTCAGCGTAGCGCTTCATTGTTTTGTCTCATTTATTGCGGGCTTAGGGAGATATGAATTTTTTAATTGTTTTAGTTGTTGTCAAGCGCTTCCTAAAGTTTTTTTAAAAACTTTTTATAGTACTTTTTCATGTGTTCCCGTCATTGAGGAAGATCGGTGCAATAAAAAAATGAAAAGAAAAAGGTGATAGATAAAATAGAAGCACACACCTTGTAATTATGCAGGTATGATTATAATGCTTACATTGTGCCGCCTCTTGCTTTTGAAGTGCTTTGCCACGGCTCTGTTTACGGCACCTCTGCAATAGAAAGCTGTTTCGTGCGCATAGTGGTTGCGCAGTTTTGTTTGCCTATACATTGGTTTTACGAAACGACAATGAAGAGTTGGTAGTCTGCGGTCTTTGCTGTCGCCCTTCTCATTTTCCATCAGCTTGCGCAGCAAGTCGAATTTTCATACGTACGTTCAAACTTGTCAAGATTTTGTAGCAGTCCTGTTACTCTACAGTTCGCCTACTTAGTTGTATTTACGCTGGGTACTTTCTGGTTGGTTCGGTGCACCAGCGTGATCAAGCGAGCCACGTGGTCACGACTCATCGTTTTTTTTTTTTTTTTGCTCAACTGAAGAAGTTTTGGCGAATTGGACACCGCGAGAACAGCTCCCCTCCCTGAACTGCTGTGTGTACGACTCTATGAATAGGTGCAAGTCGTGTCCTGCGGTAACGAC